ATCAATCAGTCAGTCAGTCAGTCAGTCAATCAGTCAGTCAATCAATCAGTCAGTCAATCAACCAGTCAATCAATCAGTCAATCAATCAGTCAATCAATCAGTCAGTCAATCAATCAGTCAGTCAATCAACCAGTCAATCAATCAGTCAATCAATCAGTCAATCAATCAGTCAGTCAATCAACCAGTCAATCAATCAGTCAATCAATCAGTCAATCAATCAGTCAGTCAATCAACCAGTCAATCAATCAGTCAACCAATCAGTCAGTCAATCAACAAATCAATCAATCAATTAGTCAGTCAATCAGTCAGTCAATCAGTCAGTCAATCAATCAGTCAATCAATCAGTCAATCAATCAGTCAATCAATCAGTCAGTCAATCAATCAGTCAATCAATCAGTCAATCAGTCAGTCAGTCAGTCAATCAATCAATCAGTCAATCAACAAATCAATCAACCAATCAATCAGTCAATCAATCAATCAGTCAATCAATCAATCAGTCAGTCAGTCAATCACTCAGTCAATCAATCAACAAATCAGTCAATCAGTCAGTCAGTCAATCAGTCGGTCAGTCAGTCAATCAATCAGTCAATCAATCAGTCAATCAATCAGTCAATCAATCAGTCAATCAATCAGTCAGTCAATCAACAAATCAATCAATCAGTCAATCAATCAGTCAGTCAATCAACCAGTCAATCAATCAGTCAATCAATCAGTCAATCAATCAGTCAATCAATCAACCAGTCAATCAATCAGTCAATCAATCAGTCAATCAATCAGTCAGTCAATCAACCAGTCAATCAATCAGTCAATCAATCAGTCAATCAATCAGTCAGTCAATCAATCAGTCAATCAATCAGTCAATCAATCAGTCAGTCAATCAACCAGTCAATCAATCAGTCAATCAATCAGTCAATCAATCAGTCAGTCAATCAACCAGTCAATCAATCAGTCAATCAATCAGTCAGTCAATCAACAGTCAATCAATCAGTCAACCAATCAGTCAGTCAATCAACAAATCAATCAATCAATCAGTCAGTCAATCAGTCAGTCAATCAATCAGTCAATCAATCAGTCAATCAATCAGTCAATCAATCAGTCAGTCAATCAATCAGTCAATCAATCAGTCAATCAGTCAGTCAGTCAGTCAATCAATCAATCAGTCAATCAACAAATCAATCAACCAATCAATCAACAAATCAGTCAATCAGTCAGTCAGTCAGTCAATCAGTCAGTCAATCAATCAGTCAGTCAATCAATCAATCAGTCAATCAACAAATCAATCAACCAATCAATCAGTCAATCAATCAATCAGTCAATCAATCAATCAGTCAGTCAGTCAATCACTCAGTCAATCAATCAACAAATCAGTCAATCAGTCAGTCAGTCAATCAGTCGGTCAGTCAGTCAATCAATCAGTCAATCAATCAGTCAATCAATCAGTCAGTCAATCAGTCAATCAGTCAGTCAATCAAACAATCAGTCATTCAATCAGTCAGTCAACCAATCAGTCACTCAATCAATCAGTCAGTCAATCAACAAATCAATCAACCAATCAGTCAGTCAATCAGTCAGTCAGTTAATCAACAAATCAATCAACCAATCAATCAGTCAGTCAATCAAACAATCAGTCAGTCATTCAATCAGTCAGTCAGTCAGTCAGTCAATTAATCAGTCAGTCAATCAGTCAGTCAGTCAGTCAATAAATCAGTCAGTCAATCAACAAATCAATCCACCAATCAATCAGTCAGTCAATCAAACAATCAGTCATTCAATCAATCAGTCAACCAGTCAATCAATCAGTCAATCAATCAACCAATCAATCAGTCAGTCAATCAATCAATCAGTCAGTCAATCAATCAGTCAACCAATCAATCAGTCAATCAGTCAGTCAATCAACCAATCAGTCAATCAATCAATCAACCAATCAACCAATCAATCAATCAGTCAACCAATCAATCAGTCAGTCAATCAACCAATCAGTCAGTCAACCAATCAATCAGCAAGTCAATCAACCAATCAACCAATCAGTCAGTCAACCAATCAGTCAGTCAGTCAACCAATCAATCAGTCAATCAGTCATTCAATCAGTCAATCAATCAGTCAGTCAGTCAATCAGTCAATCAGTCAGTCAACCAATCAATCAGTCAGTCAATCAACCAATCAGTCAATCAATCAATCAACCAATCAACCAATCAATCAATCAATCAATCAGTCAGTCAATCAGTCAGTCAGTCAGTCAATCAGTCAGTCAACCAATCAGTCAGTCAGTCAATCAATCAATCAGTCAACCAATCAATCAGTCAGTCAATCAACCAATCAACCAATCAGTCAGTCAACCAATCAATCAGTCAGTCAATCAACCAATCAACCAATCAGTCAGTCAACCAATCAATCAGCATGTCAATCAACCAATCAACCAATCAGTCAGTCAATCAGTCAGTCAGTCAGTCAATCAGTCAGTCAGTTAATCAACAAATCAATCAACCAATCAATCAGTCAGTCAATCAAACAATCAGTCATTCAATCAGTCAGTCAGTCAGTCAATCAGTCAGTCAGTCAGTCAGTCAACCAATCAATCAGTCAACCAATCAATCAACCAGTCAGTCAGTCAACCAATCAATCAACCAATCAGTCAGTCAGTCAATCAATCAACAAATCAATCAGTCAATCAATCAGTCAACCAATCAGTCAGTCAATCAACCAATCAACCAATCAGTCAGTCAACCAATCAATCAGTCAGTCAATCAATCAATCAGTCAATCAGTCAGTCAATCAACCAATCAGTCAGTCAATCAATCAACCAATCAATCAATCAGTCAACCAATCAATCAGTCAATCAATCAACCAATCAATCAATCAGTCAACCAATCAATCAGTCAGTCAATCAACCAATCAACCAATCAGTCAGTCAACCAATCAATCAGTCAGTCAATCAATCAATCAGTCAACCAATCAATCAGTCAATCAGTCAGTCAATCAACCAATCAGTCAATCAATCAATCAACCAATCAACCAATCAATCAATCAGTCAACCAATCAATCAGTCAATCAGTCAGTCAATCAACCAATCAACCAATCAATCAGTCAATCAGTCAGTCAATCAACCAATCAACCAATCAGTCAGTCAACCAATCAGTCAGTCAGTCAGTCAATCAATCAATCAGTCAACCAATCAATCAGTCAGTCAATCAACCAATCAACCAATCAGTCAGTCAACCAATCAATCAGTCAGTCAATCAACCAATCAACCAATCAGTCAGTCAACCAATCAGTCAGCAAGTCAATCAACCAATCAACCAATCAGTCAGTCAACCAATCAATCAGTCAATCAGTCATTCAATCAGTCAGTCAATCAGTCAATCAGTCAGTCAATCAATCAGTAAGTCAGTCAGTCAATCAATCAGTCAGTCAATCAATTAGTCAGTCAGTCAGTCAATCAGTCAGTCAATCAGTCAGTCAGTCAATCAATCAGTCAGTCATTCAGTCATTCAATCAGTCTATCAGTCAATCAGTCAGTCAGTCAGTCAATCAGTCAGTCTATTAGTCAATCAGTCAATCAGTCAGTCAATCAGTCAGTCAATCAATCTTTATATGTTTTGTCATTAAAAGCTTTCGAATGTTTTTAAGTTTTCAAACTTATATTTTTGTCTCTTGCTAAAGGTAATTTCTATTCCTTCATTTTGTTTTGTCCTGCAGCCTTCACCACTGCTCCTCCTCCTCCTCCGGACTGAGAGGTAAACTTCCTGTGGCATGAGGTCAATAAACAAATCATTTTTTGATTTCAAACAGTATAAGAGTAGGGTAGTTATTCATATAGAGGCGTGCTGGTCTGACTGACAGGTGGGTGTTGTTTGTCGGGAGGCTTAAGCCCCGCCTCTTTGTCTGTTTAGCATTTTCAAAATGGCAATCGCCATCAGCGATGTCCTATTCACTAACCGATGAGTGACGTCATTCAGGCTTTGTCCGTGTTTATTTAGAGTCTTTGGTTATCAGGCTTGGGTGTTTGATGAAGCCCCTCCCCCTCTGTTGCAGTAAGCCAATGGGAGCAAAGCAGGGAGGTAAGAGTGAGGAGGTCGTACACTGAGGAGCTGCTAGGCATTGACTTCAGTGCTCCTCCTCAATCTACCAACAACCCCTTCATAATCCCCTCCCCCTCTTCAGGTGAGCTGATGATGTCACAGGACAGGGTCATGTGACACAGTGTACAGGTGCAGATACCAGGATCAGAAACAGGTAACATGTGGTTCTGGTCTGCAGGTGTCCCCCCTGTGGACCCTCTCAGTGGGATGATGGGAGCTCTGAGACTGGAGTCTGTAAGAGAGCGGCTCAGTGACTCACCTGTGAGGACTATCCAATCAGGAGCTCACAGACTCACTGCAGACCAAGACCAGGTATCAGGACCAGCATCTGGACCCAATCAGAGCCTTCAACCAGACCACATACAGGTGAGTCAGTCTACAGGTGATTCAGTCTGCAGGTGACTCAGTCTACAGGTGACTTAGTGTACAGGTGACTCAGTCTACAGATGACTCAGTCTACAGGTGACTCAGTCTACAGGTGACTCAGTCTACAGGTGACTCAGTGTACAGGTGACTCAGTCTACAGGTGACTCAGTCTACAGGTGACTCAGTGTACAGGTGACTCAGTGTACAGGTGACTCAGTCTACAGGTGACTCAGTCTACAGGTGACTCAGTGTACAGGTGATTCAGTCTACAGGTGACTCAGTCTACAGGTGACTCAGTCTACAGGTGACTCAGTGTACAGGTGACTCAGTCTACAGGTGACTCAGTGTACAGGTGACTCAGTCTACAGGTGACTCAGTCTACAGGTGACTCAGTCTACAGGTGACTCAGTGTACAGGTGATTCAGTCTACAGGTGACTCAGTGTACAGGTGATTCAGTCTACAGGTGACTCAGTCTACAGGTGACTCAGTGTACAGGTGATTCAGTCTACAGGTGACTCAGTCTACAGGTGACTCAGTGTACAGGTGATTCAGTCTACAGGTGACTCAGTCTACATGCCTCCACCTCCTCCACCTCCTCCTCTTCCTGATTCTTCTCCTTCTCTTTCCCTCCTTCAGATGACGGCTTGTCTTAATCCGGACCAGGCGGCCATCTTCCTGTCTCTAATGACCATGGAGGGGCGGAGTTTCAGCCCTGATGATGTCATAGAGGCGATCCAGCTCAACAGAGATTTCTCATCAGCTCTCAAGTTCCTGACTCACTGCTGCCCCATCTGTCAGGAGCAGGTGTCCTTCAGCAAGGTGAGAATCAGCCAACCAGAGAGCAGACAGCCTCGACTTTCTCCTTCTCTGTCTGTATTTCTCGTAGATCATCACCATGACTCACTGCTTCTTCTTCTCTGTCTGTATTTCTCGTAGATCATCACCATGACTCACTGCTTCTTCTTCTTCTCTGTCTGTATTTCTCGTAGATCATCACCATGACTCACTGCTTCTTCTTCTCTGTCTGTATTTCTCGTAGATCATCACCATGACTCACTTCTTCTTCTCTGTCTGTATTTCTCGTAGATCATCACCATGACTCACTGCTTCTTCTTCTTCTCTGTCTGTATTTCTCGTAGATCATCACCATGACTCACTGTTTCTTCTTCTTCTCTGTCTGTATTTATTATAGATCATCACCATGACTCACTTCTTCTTCTTCTCTGTCTGTATTTCTCGTAGATCATCACCATGACTCACTTCTTCTTCTCTGTCTGTATTTCTCGTAGATCATCACCATGACTCACTTCTTCTTCTCTGTCTGTATTTCTCGTAGATCATCACCATGACTCACTGTTTCTTCTTCTTCTCTGTCTGTATTTCTCGTAGATCATCACCATGACTCACTGCTTCTTCTTCTTCTCTGTCTGTATTTCTCGTAGATCATCACCATGACTCACTTCTTCTTCTCTGTCTGTATTTCTCGTAGATCATCACCATGACTCACTTCTTCTTCTCTGTCTGTATTTCTCGTAGATCATCACCATGACTCACTGTTTCTTCTTCTTCTCTGTCTGTATTTCTCGTAGATCATCACCATGACTCACTGCTTCTTCTTCTCTGTCTGTATTTCTCGTAGATCATCACCATGACTCACTGCTTCTTCTTCTTCTCTGTCTGTATTTCTCGTAGATCATCACCATGACTCACTGCTTCTTCTTCTTCTCTGTCTGTATTTCTCGTAGATCATCACCATGACTCACTTCTTCTTCTCTGTCTGTATTTCTCGTAGATCATCACCATGACTCACTTCTTCTTCTCTGTCTGTATTTCTCGTAGATCATCACCATGACTCACTGCTTCTTCTTCTCTGTCTGTATTTCTCGTAGATCATCACCATGACTCACTGCTTCTTCTTCTTCTCTGTCTGTATTTCTCGTAGATCATCACCATGACTCACTGCTTCTTCTTCTTCTCTGTCTGTATTTCTCGTAGATCATCACCATGACTCACTGTTTCTTCTTCTTCTCTGTCTGTATTTCTCGTAGATCATCACCATGACTCACTTCTTCTTCTCTGTCTGTATTTCTCGTAGATCATCACCATGACTCACTTCTTCTTCTCTGTCTGTATTTCTCGTAGATCATCACCATGACTCACTTCTTCTTCTCTGTCTGTATTTCTCGTAGATCATCACCATGACTCACTTCTTCTCTGTCTGTATTTCTCGTAGATCATCACCATGACTCACTTCTTCTTCTTCTCTGTCTGTATTTCTCGTAGATCATCACCATGACTCACTGCTGCTTCTTCTTCTTCTCTGTCTGTATTTCTCGTAGATCATCACCATGACTCACTGTTTCTTCTTCTTCTCTGTCTGTATTTCTCGTAGATCATCACCATGACTCACTTCTTCTTCTCTGTCTGTATTTCTGGTAGATCATCACCATGACTCACTTCTTCTTCTCTGTCTGTATTTCTCGTAGATCATCACCATGACTCACTTCTTCTTCTCTGTCTGTATTTCTCGTAGATCATCACCATGACTCACTGCTCCTGCTTCCTGTGTCAGATGTGTTTTAAGACGTTTTTTTCGGCGGCCATTAAAGAGAAGAGCATCGATCAGCTGGTTTGTCCTCAGTGTGGCAGACCAGAGGTGAAAGGTCATAGTGGGATGGACTACTTTAACCTGTTGGACACACAGGTGAGGGGTCAGAGGTCAGGTGAACTCAGGTGAGGTGAGCGGAAACAGGTATGAAGGTCCTCTCAGACTTGACGCGGTGGTCGCTGAGCGTGGTTCTTGAACTCGTTCATTGTTGAGAGTTTTCTGCCTGTGCCGAGATCGGTGTGAAATGTAAACATTTTCACAATCCTAGAATCCCTCTGACTCTCCGAGCACAGAACCAAATGCTGCTCACCGCTGTGAAGGGCAGCGGCACAGTGCCACTTATGTTCACTCTCTTCTCATGTTCACGCTCTTCTCATGTTCACTCTCTTATGTTCACTCTCTCATGTTCACTCTCTCATGTTCACTCTCTTCTCATGTTCACTCTCTCATGTTCACTCTCTTCTCATGTTCACGCTCTTCTCATGTTCACTCTCTTATGTTCACTCTCTCATGTTCACTCTCTTCTCATGTTCACTCTCTTATGTTCACTCTCTTCTCATGTTCACGCTCTTCTCATGTTCACTCTCTTCTCATGCTCACTCTCTTCTCATGTTCACTCTCTTATGTTCACTCTCTTATGTTCACTCTCTCATGTTCACTCTCTTCTCATGTTCACTCTCTTATGTTCACTCTCTTCTCATGTTCACTCTCTTCTCATGTTCACTCTCTTATGTTCACTCTCTTATGTTCACTCTCTTCTCATGTTCACTCTCTTCTCATGTTCACTCTCTTCCCATGTTTACTCTCAACATAAGGGGGATGTTCACAAGGGCAGCGGCACAGTGTTGAGTTTAAACTCAGAAAATCAAAGTCAGCTTGTGGCTGAGATCGACTCAAAGAGAGAAACAAAGCCTCCCACAATGATCACTCTTGTGATCACTCTTCTCATGTTCACTCTCTTCTCATGTTCACTCTCTTATGTTCACTCTCTTCTCATGTTCACTCTCTTCTCATGTTCACTCTCTTATGTTCACTCTCTTCTCATGTTCACTCTCTTCTCATGTTCACTCTCTTCTCATGTTCACTCTCTTATGTTCACTCTCTTCTCATGTTCACTCTCTTCTCATGTTCACTCTCTTCTCATGCTCACTCTCTTCTCATGTTCACTCTCTTATGTTCACTCTCTTATGTTCACTCTCTTCTCATGTTCACTCTCTTCTCATGTTCACTCTCTTCTCATGCTCACTCTCTTATGTTCACTCTCTTCTCATGTTCACTCTCTTCTCATGTTCACTCTCTTATGTTCACTCTCTTCTCATGTTCACTCTCTTCTCATGCTCACTCTCTTCTCATGTTCACTCTCTTATGTTCACTCTCTTATGTTCACTCTCTTCTTATGTTCACTCTCTTCTCATGTTCACTCTCTTATGTTCACTCTCTTATGTTCACTCTCTTCTCATGTTCACTCTCTTCTCATGTTCACCATCATATTCACTCTCTTCTCATGTTCACTCTCTCCTCATGTTCACTCTCTCCTCATGTTCACTCTCTTCTCATGTTCATTCTCTTATGTTCACTCTCTTCTCATGTTCACTCTCTTCTTATGTTCACTGTCTCCTCATGTTCACTCTCTTCTTATGTTCACTCTCTCCTCATGTTCACTCTCTTCTTATGTTCACGCTCTTCTCATGTTCACTCTCTTCTCATGTTCACTCTCTTCTCATGTTCACTCTCTCCTCATGTTCACTCTCTTCTTATGTTCACTCTCTTCTCAAGTTCACTCTCTTCTCATGTTCATTCTCTTATGTTCACTCTCTTCTCATGTTCACTCTCTTCTTATGTTCACTGTCTCCTCATGTTCACTCTCTTCTTATGTTCACTCTCTCCTCATGTTCACTCTCTTCTTATGTTCACGCTCTTCTCATGTTCACTCTCTTCTCATGTTCACTCTCTTCTTATGTTCACTCTCTTCTCATGTTCACTCTCTCCTCATGTTCACTCTCTTCTTATGTTCGCTCTCTTCTCATGTTCACTCTCTCCTCATGTTCACTCTCTTCTCATGTTCACCCTCTTCTTATGTTCACTGTCTCCTCATGTTCACTCTCTTCTTATGTTCACTCTCTCCTCATGTTCACTCTCTTCTTATGTTCACTCTCTTCTCATGTTCATTCTCTCCTCATGTTCACTCTCTTCTCATGTTCACCCTCTTCTTATGTTCACTCTCTTCTTATGTTCACTCTCTTCTCATGTTCACTGTCTCCTCATGTTCACTCTCTTCTTATGTTCACTCTCTTCTTATGTTCACTCTCTTCTTATGTTCACTCTCTTCTTATGTTCACCCTCTTCTTATGTTCACTGTCTCCTCATGTTCACTCTCTTCTTATGTTCACTCTCTCCTCATGTTCACCCTCTTCTTATGTTCACTGTCACGTTCACTCTCTTCTTATGTTCACTCTCTTCTCATTTCACTCTCTCCTCATGTTCACTCTCTTCTCATGTTCACTCTCTCCTCATGTTCACTCTCTCCTCATGTTCACCCTCTTCTTATGTTCATTGTCACGTTCACTCTCTTCTTATGTTCACTCTCTTCTCATGTTCACTCTCTTCTTATGTTCACTCTCTTCTCATGTTCACTCTCTCCTCATGTTCACTCTCTCCTCATGTTCACTCTCTTCTCATGTTCACCCTCTTCTTATGTTCACTGTCACGTTCACTCTCTTCCCATGTTTACTCTCAACATAAGGGGGATGTTCATTTGAAAAAGGATCCTCCAAACCTTAAGTCTCTCTCTCTGACATGCTCAGATGGATCATGGAGCGAGAGCATAGCGCCCTCTGTACTTTAGAGACATTATTTCCCACAGGAGCTTTTATTGTGAAATGCTCCTACATGAAGGTACTTCCTGTGGTGATGTATGAACAAAGATTCTAACATCATCTCGGCCTCTTAAGAACTCAATTCCACTGACTTTGAACCGTAACACCAGTGTTATAAAAATCAACACAAACTTCCTTTTTGTCCAAAGAGTGACCATGCTAATGGCAGACCTGTGGTTGTCATGGTTACAGCAGATGTTGAAGACAGGAAGTGTCTGATGAATGATGCTTTGTTTAGATTTTTCTTTTCTCGTTAAAGACGCTGATCATATATGTCTGTTACCATGACAACCACAGACGTAATCAGTTACTATGACTACAGGGAGACTGAGGAGGCTTTTCTACAGTGCGCCTAAAGGGACAAAATGTAATTATTTACACACTCACTAATTGACTGACTTTAGAGTTCAAGTGTCCTCTGGTGATATTTCAGATACGCCTCTCTCCACGTCACCTCTTTGAGATATTAGCATGCTAACATTGTCCGTTGGCTACTTCTGTTAAATATTGATAAAATCAAACGGTAAACACATCAGACGTGTTGGACTCCTGACCCCGCCTCCTGCCCACTACCACAGTCATGACTCCGCCCATCAATCGTGGCTCCGCCTCCAGACTCTGAGTTTCAGTTGTTGTTTGTATTTGTGCAGATACGCCACTTCCTGCCGCCTCAGATCCACGAACTCTTCCAGAGGAAACTCAGAGATCGAGCTCTGCAGGAGATGCCAAACTTCTGCTGGTGCGCTCACGTAAGACCTCACGCCGTCATTACACCTCTACTAACGCTGCAGAGTGGGCGGGGCTCCTAATGGCAGCACCGTGTGTGTGTGTGTGTGTGTGTGTGTGTGTGTGTGTGTGTGTGTGTGTGTGTGTGTGTGTGTGTGTGTGTGTGTGTGTGTGTGTGTGTGTGTGTGTGTGTGTGTGTGTGTGTGTGTGTGTGTGTGTGTGTGTGTGTGTGTGTGTGTGTGTGTGTGTGTGTGTGTGTGTGTGTGTGTGTGTGTGTGTGTGTGTGTGTGTGTGTGTGTGTGTGTGTGTGTGTGTGTGTGTCTGTGTCTGTGTGTCAGTGTTCCTTCGGCATGCTTCATGAGGCTGACAGGTTGAGAATGGACTGTCCAGCTGTAAGAAGAGTACCTGCTGTCAGTGCAGATTCCCTGTAAGTCACACACACACACACACACACACACACACACACACACACACACACTCTCTCTTTCTGATAGCTGTGTGTGTGTGTGCAGTGGTCTTCTCAGCATCAGGGACTGTCCTGTCAGCAGTTTAGAGTCTGGAAGCAGCAGAACCATCTGGACCAGAACCCGAACCCAACACTCAGCTACAACAGCATCGGTACACACACACACACACACACACACCTACACCTGGACCTGAGCACTACTGGAACATCACGTGTGTTTAATGTGTGTGTGTGTCTTCAGAGTGTCCCAGCTGTCAGTGTGTGTTCAGTGTATCTAAAGGAGGCTGTCTTCACTTCACCTGCTCTCAGTGTCAGCATCAGTTCTGTGGAGGCTGCAGCCGGACCTTCAGCTTAGGATCTGTGAGTCCAATTCTACTGATTCTGCTCTTGATTCCACTGATTCTGCTCTTGATTCCACTGATTCTACTCTTGATTCCACTGATTCTACTCTTGATTCCACTGATTCTACTCTTGATTCCACTGATTCTACTCTTGATTATACTGTGACAGATTATGAGCAGGATTTTGTGAATCCAGTTCACCTGATGGTAACATGTTGTTGTGTTCAGGCTTGTAGCTTCTCTGCCGATTGTGGAAGCAAAGGTCTGCATGCCCACCATCCTCGAGACTGCCTGTACCACCTGAGAGACTGGTCCGTGCCCCGCCTACACCTGCTGTTACAGGTAAGAATACAGTGATGATGTGAAATGTTCTGATAGAGGTTTTTGTGAATCAGCAGGTACACAGTTCAGATCTGATCCCAGCGTGAGACTTAAACAGGTTCAGGTGTAAACGGACCTGTAAGATGTGATGTCACTGCTGTTTCACCTGTCCCAACATGAAAACACTTTATTTCAAGTCATCAGGAATGAATAAATCTGATTGTTGTTTGTTTTCATCAGGTGGTAAAGACGACTAGTTTTTTTTCTCTGATGTAAACGTGTTCCGCTCCAGCTGATTCCGCGACGCACATAAATGATGTTACTCCTGCCAAACGAGGAGCGGAAAATTCAAGCCGTAGTATGTTTAGCTCCGCACCCTGCGGCTAGATCGATAAAGTCGAGGTAGTTCAGGCCCTCAAAAACGCTCTTCACAACGCCTCTGCACCCGGCAGATCCCTCAGGACCTGACCGGACCTGACTGTGAGTTATTCTGAACTGAACAGACTATTATTTCTTTTGGACTCTTTTTATTTTTTGACCCTGAAAGACTCCTTTTTGTTTTTTAAACTGAACATTAAGGGCCTGAAAAAGGATATTTTTGTTGATTGTTTGTTTTACCACTGGAAGAGTGAGAGACTGAAAATCTTTCGTTTTGATCAGAGTTGCTGGGAATATATTTTTGTGTTGTTGTTTTTTTTTTGTTTATGTTACCTAATACAAGAATGATTTATTGAAGTGACCTTGGGTGGCAGTTTCTGTTTCATTCTTCTTATTTATTTATAAGGTGGTTTAGTTGAATACTTTTACATCCTTTGTGTTTTTGACAATAAGTGTGGTGACTTAAAATAACAAACCAAAACGACTTTTGCGTCGGGACAGCCTGGCTGGCACCCCAGAAAACAAACAAATTAAATTAAAAGTCTTGCCACTAAAACCGTCACAGTGTAGTAACTGTGGAAGCCATGGTGGCAGCACTGAGCAGCTGACAGGTGCAGACAGGTATTCTCTGACACCCGAGTTTAGACTGTCTCACAGGTAATCAGTCACAGGTGAGCAGGCTGACAGTGTGTTGTTTCCCAGTATTACAGAGCGTCTCCCGCCTGGTTGGAGCCAGCCAATGGCAGCTCACCTGACAACAGTCTGACAGGTGAGGTGTCTTTCTGAACTTCGGGTAGGATCTAACCACACCCTCCTGTTTGATTGACTGGTGTGTTTATTGGAAGGTGTGTGTTTGATTTTGGAGCTGAAAGATGATGGCAGCAGGCGGGAGGAGCCATGTGGACGCCCCGCCCACCCTGACTACAGAGGATACTGCCAGTAAGACCAGTCTGATACCAGTGTACCTGTTCAGGTGTGTTTGTTGTGTAATCAGTCTCCACACATCTGCTCTGTCAGGTTACACTATAAGGAGAATTTGGTGGAGCTCATTAACCGTTGTCATGGCGACCCGGCAGTCCTCTTCAGCCAAGCAGAGATGAAGGCGGAGCTGCAGCGCTGGCATGTTTCCTTGCCAACCAGGAGACCAGAAGAACCAGAGCAGCTGTACTCACAGCGCCTCCTCCTGGTCAGTCGCATCATCGTAAACGTAAATGATTTCATGTGAACACCGGAAACTAAAGTGATAACTGTTGGTGATTTTCAGCCAATCACAGTGAAGGCTCCTCTCTTTCTCCTTCCTTAGACTCTGACCAATAGTGTTCCACTCAGGAAGCAGAGACTTCCTGCTCAAACTGAAGCACGTCCGCTGCCCTCTGCCCTCTGCTGTGACCCATGGAGCTCCGCCCACCTACCTGCTGCTCAGGGACTAGCTGACTCTGCCCACCTCTAACCTATCTACGAAGTAGGAGGCAGCGTCCTGTCTCACTCTGACCCGCCTCCATCAGTAGTGTCTCTTAAGGGTTACATCCCAGTGTGACATCACTGGTAGGGGGCGTGGTCAGCACTTGACATCTGACCTGATGAAAATGAATGAAAATGTAATTTGTGCTTGGTAAGTTGTTCTTTATAGTGACTTCATCAGTGACATCACTCTTCTGCTCTGACAGCGTCTTATTTGCTCATAAGCTGTCATCAAAGTACAAGAAAGGGACCAAAAACTGAGTGAGCAGCCAGTCAGAGAGCTGATGTTTGCCTTAACAAGCTAACTATGTTGAAAAGTCTTTACTCAGTTAATTATTCACTTTATTACATGTAAACACGTTAGCAGTGTCAGCACGACTTAGCTCGTTAGCATGTGTAACTGCAGGTGACTTTTTACTTTCTGCACTTAAACAGTTTCAACTTATTTAATAAAAATGTAAAACATTGTTGGAGTACACTTCCTGTCCTTTGTTTCCATGACAACCTGCCTGTGTTGCTTTTCAGTTAGAAACAGCATAAATTGAAGGTTAATGTAACACCTATTACCCAGGATGCACTGCACCCGATGTTGTGCAGGTGTGACATCAGACCAAACAGCAGGTTTGTTGTAGTGACAAACTTTATTACAAACTTTACAAACTAAACATAAAATATGTTGTGTATCCCACAATGCACTGCAGGTGTCTACTGCGTAAGCGGAGCATCGTCCCTCTGAGGACTGTAGGAGTCGATCTCTTTGACGATCCTCTCAGCGACACTTCGGCTGTTGGCTGCAACGATTCTTCTAGACATCAGATCCATCTCCCCTCCTGAAACCAGAGCACATTTTCTATTTAACCCTAATACATGTTTAGACCCCTAATACATGTTCAGACCCCTAATACATGTTCAGACCCCTAATACATGTTCAGACCCCTAATACATGTTTAGACCCCTAATACATGTTTAGACCCCTAATACATGTTCAGACCCCTAATACATGTTTAGACCCCTAATACATGTTTAGACCCCTAATACATGTTTAGACCCCTAATACATGTTCAGACCCCTAATACATGTTTAGACCCCTAATACATGTTCAGACCTCTAATACATGTTCAGACCTCTAATACATGTTTAGACCCCTAATACATGCTTAGAGCCCTAATACATATTTAGACCCCTAATACATGCTTAGAGCCCTAATACATATTTAGACCCCTAATACATGCTTAGAGCCCTAATACATGTTCAGACCCCTAATACATGTTTAGACCCCTAATACATGTTTAGACCCCTAATACATATTTAGACCACTAATACATGTTCAGACCCCTAATACATGTTCAGACCTCTAATACATGTTCAGACCTCTAATACATGCTTAGAGCCCTAATACATGTTCGGACCTCTAATACATGTTCAGACCCCTAATACATGTTCAGACCTCTAATACATGTTCAGACCTCTAATACATGTTCAGACCTCTAATACATGTTTAGACCACTAATACATGCTTAGAGCCCTAATACATGTTCAGACCACTAATACATGTTCAGACCTCTAATACATGTTTAGACCACTAATACATGCTTAGAGCCCTTAATAAAGGTGTAGACCCCTCAAACATTATTATCGGCAGCCATCTGAGCATCTTTACCCTCCACGTCCATCAGGACCCCTCCGGCCTCCGATACGATCAGTGAGCCTGCAGCGATGTCCCAAACGTGTATCCCAATCTCATAATATGCTTCCACACAACCAGACGCCACCAGACACATGTTGATGGCCGCCGTTCCTGCTCCACGCACGCTGAAAACAAAGAGATGTTAGAAGAACACTGAGGGATCAGAGATCTAACCCTGAATGAGAGGAGTCCTGCAGTGTTACCCGTGTACAGGGATGCTGACAATGTTTCTCATGCTGGAGAAGATTCTCTCGACGGTTTCAGGGTCTCGGTTTGATCCAAACTCGGTGGCGATGATGGATTGTTTGATGTCTGACAGAGAGGATCGTGTTATTTAAAAAGACAGTAACGCCTGAATCAAACATTGATCTCATTAATGTTACTTTGAATGTGCTGATGTAATGATGAATAAACGATTATTGACCTTTCTGATCAGAAACCTGCAGTGGCTCTCCGTTACAGAAAGCTCCCTTCCCCCTCCTTGCTGTAAACATCTTATCCTCGAGACAGCTGTAGACCACGCCAAACTCCACCTGACACCCAACACACGACGAGCACAAACTGATGATACATCATGACACAAAGTACAGTACACCATGAAGCAGTGAAATAAAGTACAGTACTCTACAGTACACCATGAAACAGTGTAATAAAGTACAGTACTCTACAGTACACCATGAAACAGTGTAATAAAGTACAGTACTCTACAGTACACCATGAAACAGTGTAGTAAAGTACAGTACTCTACAGTACACCATGAAACAGTGTAATAAAGTACAGTACTCTACAGTACACCATGAAACAGTGTAGTAAAGTACAGTACTCTACAGTACACCAAGAAACAGTGTAGTAAAGTACAGTACTCTACAGTACACCATGAAACAGTGTAATAAAGTACAGTACTCTACAGTACACCATGAAACAGTGTAGTAAAGTACAGTACTCTACAGTACACCATGAAACAGTGTAATAAAGTACAGTACTCTACAGTACACCATGAAACAGTGTAGTAAAGTACAGTACACCATGAAACAGTGTAGTAAAGTACAGTACTCTACAGTAAACCATGAAACAGTGTAATAAAGTACAGTACTCTACAGTACACCAAGAAACAGTGTAGTAAAGTACAGTACTCTACATTACACCATGAAACAGTGTAGTAAAGTACAGTATACCATGAAACAGTGTAGTAAAGTACAGTACTCTACAATACACCATGAAACAGTGTAGTAAAGTACAGTACTCTACAGTACACCATGAAACAGTGTAGTAAAGTACAGTACTCTATAGCACACCATGAACCAGTGTAGTAAAATACAGTACACCATGAAACAGTGTAGTAAAGTACAGTACTCTACAGTACACCATGAAACAGTGTAGTAAAGTACAGTACACCATGAAACAGTGTAGTAAAGTACACCATGAAACAGTGTAGTAAAGTACAGTACACCATGAACAGTGTAGTAAAGTACAGTACTCTACAGTACACCATGAAACAGTGTAGTAAAGTACAGTACTCTATAGCACACCATGAACCAGTGTAGTAAAATAAAGTACACCATGAAACAGTGTAGTAAAGTACAGTACTCTACAGTACACCATGAAACAGTGTAGTAAAGTACAGTACTCTATAGCACACCATGAACCAGTGTAGTAAAGTACAGTACACCATGAAACAGTGTAGTAAAGTACAGTACTCTACAGTACACCATGAACCAGTGTAGTAAAGTACAGTATACCATGAACCAGTGTAGTCAAGTACACCATGAAACAGTGTAGTAAAGTACAGTACTCTACAGCACACCATGAAACAGTGTAGTAAAGTACAGTACTCTACAGCACACCATGAACCAGTGTAGTTAAGTACAGTACTCTACAGTACACCATGAAACAGTGTAATAAAGTACAATACTCTACAGTACACCATAAAACAGTGTAGTAAAGTACAGTACTCTACAGTACACCATGAAACAGTGTAATAAAGTACAGTACACCATGAAACAGTGTAGTAAAGTACAGTACTCTACAGTACTCATGAAACAGTGTAGTCAAGTACAGTACTCTACAGTACACCATGAAACAGTGTAGTAAAGTACAGTACTCTACAGTACACCATGAAACAGTGTAGTAAAATACAGTAATCTACAGTACACCATGAAACAGTGTAGTAAAGTACAGTACTCTACAGCACACCATGAACCAGTGTAGTTAAGTACAGTACTCTACAGTACACCATGAAACAGTGTAGTAAAGTACAGTACACCATGAAACAGTGTAGTCAAGTACAGTACTCTACAGTACACCATGAAACAGTGTAGTAAAGTACAGTACACCATGAACCAGTGTAGTAAAGTACAGTACTCTACAGTACACCATGAAACAGTGTAGTAAAGTACAGTACTCTATAGCACACCATGAACAGTGTAGTAAAATAAAGTACACCATGAAACAGTGTAGTAAAGTACAGTACTCTACAGTACACCATGAAACAGTGTAGTAAAGTACAGTACTCTATAGCACACCATGAACCAGTGTAGTAAAGTACAGTACACCATGAAACAGTGTAGTAAAGTACAGTACTCTACAGTACACCATGAACCAGTGTAGTAAAGTACAGTATACCATGAACCAGTGTAGTCAAGTACACCATGAAACAGTGTAGTAAAGTACAGTACTCTACAGCACACCATGAAACAGTGTAGTAAAGTACAGTACTCTACAGCACACCATGAACCAGTGTAGTTAAGTACAGTACTCTACAGTACACCATGAAACAGTGTAATAAAGTACAATACTCTACAGTACACCATAAAACAGTGTAGTAAAGTACAGTACTCTACAGTACACCATGAAACAGTGTAATAAAGTACAGTACACCATGAAACAGTGTAGTAAAGTACAGTACTCTACAGTACATCATGAAACAGTGTAGTCAAGTACAGTACTCTACAGTACACCATGAAACAGTGTAGTAAAGTACAGTACTCTACAGTACACCATGAAACAGTGTAGTAAAATACAGTAATCTACAGTACACCATGAACAGTGTAGTAAAGTACAGTACTCTACAGCACACCATGAACCAGTGTAGTTAAGTACAGTACTCTACAGTACACCATGAAACAGTGTAGTAAAGTACAGTACACCATGAAACAGTGTAGTCAAGTACAGTACTCTACAGTACACCATGAAACAGTGTAGTAAAGTACAGTACACCATGAAACAGTGTAGTAAAGTACACCATGAACCAGTGTAGTCAAGTACAGTACTCTACAGTACACCATGAAACAGTGTAGTAAAGTACAGTACTCTATAGCACACCATGAACCAGTGTAGTAAAATAAAGTACACCATGAAACAGTGTAGTAAAGTACAGTACTCTACAGTACACCATGAACCAGTGTAGTAAAGTACAGTGCGCTACAGTACACCATGAAACAGTGTAGTAAAGTACAGTATACCATGAACCAGTGTAGTCAAGTACACCATGAAACAGTGTAGTAAAGTACAGTACTCTACAGCACACCATGAACCAGTGTAGTTAAGTACAGTACTCTACAGTACACCATGAAACAGTGTAATAAAGTACAGTACTCTACAGTACACCATAACAGTGTAGTAAAGTACAGTACTCTACAGTACACCATGAAACAGTGTAATAAAGTACAGTACACCATGAAACAGTGTAGTAAAGTACAGTACTCTACAGTACATCATGAAACAGTGTAGTAAAATACAGTAATCTACAGTACACCATGAAACAGTGTAGTAAAGTACAGTACTCTACAGTACACCATGAAACAGTGTAATAAAGTACAATACTCTACAGTACACCATAAAACAGTGTAGTAAAGTACAGTACTCTACAGTACACCATGAAACAGTGTAATAAAGTACAGTACACCATGAAACAGTGTAGTAAAGTACAGTACTCTACAGTACATCATGAAACAGTGTAGTAAAATACAGTAATCTACAGTACACCATGAAACAGTGTAGTAAAGTACAGTACTCTACAGCACACCATGAACCAGTGTAGTTAAGTACAGTACTCTACAGTACACCATGAAACAGTGTAGTCAAGTACAGTACTCTACAGTACACCATGAAACAGTGTAGTAAAGTACAGTACTACAGTACACCATGAAACAGTGTAGTAAAATACAGTAATCTACAGTACACCATGAAACAGTGTAGTAAAGTACAGTACTCTACAGCACACCATGAACCAGTGTAGTTAAGTACAGTACTCTACAGTACACCATGAAACAGTGTAGTAAAGTACAGTACACCATGAAACAGTGTAGTCAAGTACAGTACTCTACAGTACACCATGAAACAGTGTAGTAAAGTACAGTACTCTACAGCACACCATGAACCAGTGTAGTTAAGTACAGTACTCCATGAAACAGTGTAGTAAAGTACAGTACACCATGAAACAGTGTAGTAAAGTACACCATGAAACAGTGTAGTAAAGTACAGTACTCTACAGTACACAATGAAACAGTGTAGTAAAGTACAGTACTCTACAGTACACCATGAAACAGTGTAGTAAAGTACAGTACACCATGAAACAGTGTAATAAAGTACAGTACTCTATAGTACACCATGAAACAGTGTAGTAAAGTACAGTACATCATGAAACAGTGTAGTCAAGTACAGTACACCATGAAACAGTGCAGTAAAGTACAGTACTCTACAGCACACCATGAAACAGTGTAGTAAAGTACAGTAATCTACAGTACACCATGAAACAGTGTAGTAAAGTACAGTACTCTAGAGTACACCATGAAACAGTGTAATAAAGTACAGGGTTAATCTACAGCACACCATGGAACAGTGTAATAAAGTACAGTTCTGTACAGTACACCAGGAAACAGTGTAGTAAAGTACAGTACTCTACAGTACAACATGAAACAGTGTAGTAAAGTACAGTACTCTACAGTACACCATGAAACAGTGTAGTAAAGTACAGTACACCATGAAACAGTGTAGTAAAGTACAGTAATCTACAGTACACCATGAAACAGTGTAGTAAAGTACAGTACTCTACAGTACACCATGAAAGAGTGTAATAAAGTACAGTACTCTACAGTACACCATGAAGAGTG